TTAAAGTTTCAGGGGTAAAGTGAAGGCCAGCTGGCTGATACAGATCTATTCCAGCTTTGTTCAACAGGTCTAGAATTCGTCTGATATGAGCAAAGGCTTTCATTCTTTTTAAAACAAGAGCCCTCTTGAATTAAAAATGTAACTTCCTGGTAAACAACATAAGTATTTTAAAGAATAAATGACAAGGGGGCCAGGGATTTGGTTCAGTGGTTCTGCCACCCGCTTCGCAAGTGCAAGGACCCAAGTTCGATCCCTGGTACTAAGAAAAAGAAAAAAAAAAAGAATAGATGACAAGCTGTTAGGGACAGAATATTTAAAATGAGGAAGACAGTATGTAGGAAAGGGTGAGAGTGTCACTGGAGGCGACAGGGAGACAATATTACAGATTCTACAATCTGGCCTCTTGTCTTGACTGTGCAGCATAATTCCAAGCCCTCCCCCTTCCTTCTTTACCATGCACATGTGTGCTTTAGGGCAAAAATGACTGTCTCCAAAGCAAAGTGCCACTGAGAGAATACATAAATATCAAGTTTTTAGAAAGGTCATTGAGGGGAAGTAAATGTTATCAATGACACATTTAATTTAGCATGATTCAAGCCTACTGGAATTTTTTGCCAGGCATTGTAAATACATATAATTGCTTCACTTGAGTTCTTTCCAAACCATTGTGTATGACTCTGGGGTAGTGTTCAACATGGGTATAATCTGGCATCTCTGCATGTTATGAAGATGATGGAGATGAAGAAAAATGATCGAGAGAGCCTAGGTGTCTCACTTCAAAGGGCAGTACCTTTACACAGAGGATTACAGCCAAGACACATCACTCGGTTTCCTGTGATTCTATTTTCATAGGCTCTTTGGATTTTTTTGGTTTAAAATAAGTTCACTCAACATAGAGAAGTCAAATAGTTGGTGGTAAAACCTTATAAAGGCTGAAACGTCATGTCCTAAACTATGGAGAAGAGAGACCTTCTCATGATGTTCCTTTGCTGTTCACATTTCTTTGCAATGGAATTATGTGGATTAGGTGAGGCAAAGGATGAAGATATAAGGAAGGAACTCTCTCACCTTGAGCCATTTCACTGGCAGACAGATGTATAAACAAAGTTCAAAGGACTAAAATTATCACGCTTCGAATATCTGAATTAACTTGGCATTAGATTAAAATTCCTACCATTAAACTTAGACGAAAGCTAGAAAAACTGCAGGGTCTAAATTCATTTTATATCTGTTCATTCCAATAAAATACATTACATGGGAAGGGAAGTCAATGTTATCAATAATATTTAATTGAATATGATTCAAACCTACAGGAATTTCTGGCCTATATTTCTGGGACTGTATTTTAATTCAGTTATCATTAATATCATTGATAAAATGAGATTACAAATGTATGTATTGCTAATTTTAGAAATTGTATAATTAGATGACTTTCAGATATCTTTCAATTTCATCCATTCTATTAGTAAGACCACTGTATATGTTCAAACCAGCAAAGGGCAAAGAGGAGTATGTCTTGGGTCATAAACACACAGGTTAAGCTCTCCTCAGTAGTGCTAACAAACCTCAGGTGGTGGGGATGTGCACTCTCTTTTATGCAGAAATCACTAGTTCATTTTAAAAAATTCCCATTATTTACAGAAGATTTTGAACCATGGATAGACTTCTGGAGATTGGTACGCAGTTATCACAATGAATACAAAAATGTCTTGTAGTTAGAAATGAAAAAATATGAACAAATTTTTATTGGGTCATGTACTTTAAATATTAGAGCAAATTAAATGAATTTTAGAGTTTTTCTTACATTCATTATTTTCTGTACCCTTTAGCCTTAGCAAAGATATTCCTAGAAATCAATTTGGCAATAGTCATAAAACATGAGTAACAGTGCTAAAACAAGTAAAAATCTATTTAATGGTCAGATAAATGACCAAGTCGGTAGATTAAGTATTGGCTGCCATTTATATTTTCATGCAAAATAAAGCGTAAAAAATAAGAGTACTGAAGTTTTAAATTTTCTCTTTAAGACAAAAAATATCAGGCCTTAATTAAAGTCTGACTGAATTAAGTGAGTCCCAAAGGCTGTTTGGGGAAACAAGGCAGAAGAAAAATTAACTTGGTGAGTAAATACCAACCCTCAAAACAATGGTACTATTGATAGTAAAGACAAGTCCATTTTTTAAACTATTACTTTGTTCACATTTCAGTAAAGAAGCATAATGATGTCTTTTATAAATATGTGAACAAGGCTTAAAATACTACCTCTTTAAATATTTAGCTGAATTTTGCCTTATTTTATTATATAGCCAATCAATACTATGACAGAAGTATGATACATCTTCTTCTAAAGAAGACAGCCCCATGGGTTACAGAAACCTTTTATATGATAAACAAGCAACACTGAGAGGAAACAAGTTTTATAACATAGATGGGATGAATGTCTAGAATGTATCACACCTATACTGATTTTGAGTATTCATAGATTTTAGTGTCAGTGGAGAGGTCCTTGAACCAATCCCCCATAAATACTGAGAGATGACTGTATATATTTTTTATGAAGTTTTCTTGCCCTAAATAGTCTTGTTTCTTCCTACTTGTTTTGTTCTATTTGTTTGTACTGGTCTTTCATTACCATATACTCTGTATAAGTGGCTGATGATTCTTAGCTGTCTTGCATATACAAAACTGTGTGAACTATAAAGCTAACAGGAAGTTCTAGGTTTGGGTGGGGCTTGTTAATGATTGGGTCCATTGTAAAATGATCTAGTGGTTAACATCAGTATGTTTGGGGAGTGTACACACACGTGTATGTGTGTCTGCCCAAAGGAAACTCTTTCAATCTCCTGCCTGGTGATATCTATCCATCCATCCATCCATCCATCCATCCATCCATCCATCCATCCATCTCTACATCTTTATCTGTATCTATACTGGTACTCTGGAAAGCAAGTAGATGAGGTTGGCAAGGGAGTCCTCATATTTAGCATTTCACTATAATCATCACTCTTTTCCAGTAGGGAAGTCCCAGAATAGTATATTCCTGATGTCATTCAGTCCACAGACATTCTTTTTTACACATTTCTTGAAAATTCTGCTAGAGTGGTAAAAACAATCTAATTCTTGAAAAAAAAAACAACTTTGATCAATTTTTCTATCTTCAAGTGTACCTTCATCATAATTCCCAGTTCCCAAGGTTCTGCAGTATTCTACAAGGTAAATCAAGTTGCTTCTTGGGTTTTTACCCACTGCTGACTCATGGTTCAGATTTCTCGAATTGCTTAGTAATAAATGCAATCTTATTTCCGATTAACTAAATTTTTTGTTGCTGTCTTCTTTTACATTTTCTTATTCTTTCAAGATTTATCTTTAAGTACCTTTAGGTGCCATCTTTAAAGTTCCACTCTGCTCTTTCATAAATCACAGAATTACACAGTTCCTACACGGTGAGCAAGACTCTAAAAGAGCCTAAAATAGTTAACTCTTTCCTTCCAGAGAGCAAAGTACATTCATGTGCTACATAATGATGCATTGTTCAAAGACAGATCACATATATGATAATTGTCCCATAAGATTATATCACCCAGTGATGTTGCAGTTATTTGAGTTTGTGTAAGTAACTCCATGGTATTCACACAACAATAAAATGACTGAAGAGTGCACTTCTCAGAACATATCCCCATTATTATACATTGTTTAACTGTGTATTTTTCAATTTGCAGATGAGGTAGTTGAAATAGCAAGAAGCTGACTGTCTCACTCAAGAATATCTAAAGTCAGGGCCAGGGATTTAGCTCAGTGGTTCTACTGCCTGCCTTGCAAGCTCAAGGACCCAAATTTGATCCCCAGTACCAAAAAAAAAAACAAAAAAAAAAAAAAAAAAAAAAAAAAAAAAA